CTCTCTCTCTCTCTCTCTCTCTCTCTCTCTCTCTCTCTCTCTCTCTCGGGAATTTTCTCGAACACCTTCCCCTCTACAATGTTTAGTTTTTCTTCGTTTTTGTTCATCAAAATTCCTGCCCAAATTCGGTTAGAACCGACTTAGAATCAATTAAATCGAATCTTTGGTGCCAGCTGGAGATTCTCCAGCTGGCCAAGTCAATTTACACGTGCTAGATTGATCGGGAGAAGCTCATGAAGTCTTGGGTTTAATTCCATTTTTATGGGTTTTATTGCGTTTTGGGTGAGTCGGGCGAAGAAGGTGACTGACCCGGTCGATCCGGTAGACCCGGGTTAGTCTAAATTCGCCAATTAAGCTCAATTTTGACCAAATTTTCAAAATTAAACCCCAAAATTGAATTCTTCATCACATTTTGAACCCAAATATGTGATTTTCCCCAATTTTTGTGATAATCATATCCAAGATTTTCATATTTTTGTATTCGGGCTAATAGGGTTTTGTTCAATTTGATGTCCTAATGACCTGATTAGGCAAAATTGATGCCAAAATTGAATTACCCACATCTGATTAACCCTATAAACGATGGTCTCATGGTTCGATAATTTCATATTGGGCACGATTCCCAATTCGGGCTCAAAACTCTTAATTTTCAATTCAATTTTGGGGTTTTCTGATTTCTTTGACAAATTATGCAATTGGACAGACCATTATGTAATTCAAGGTCCCAGAATCATTTTTTGTGAAGACACTATGACTTAAAAATTACTAGAAAAGATTTAATTGCATTTTTGGTTCAATTCGGGTTTGATTTTGCCCAATTTTGGGAAAAAAATATACCCAATTGAGATTTTTCAAAATTGATGATGTATTAATGAAATTGGATTTAAAATAAGACTAATGACTATTTTTATGGAATTTTCTGATTCCATTTGCTATTTTTCTTGATTTTCTCACTTATTTTGACTAAAAGAAATTAAGGAAAAATGCAGGAAAAAGATAAAAAAAAATTATTTTTGGTTTAGAAGTAGGTTTCTAGGCTTGGCCAAGATTCCTAGTCCTAATTTTGAGATTTTTGAAAATATGAAAAAAAATGAGCTAAAAATCAGGTGTCAACAAATAAGAGTAAGGGCTTGGCAAGAAGTTGGGTCGCGCGGATGATGCGACGTCGGAAATAATCAATCCAATGGAAATGAACCCAAGAATTAAAATTCACGATCCCAAAGGCGATAATGGCGGCATTAGTGAGACACCCGAACTTCTAAGTTCACTTTTCTTGATTTCTGTTAATGAGCTTCCTAATCCATTAGGGTCCGTACATTCCTTTGGTGGTACCAAAGTTTAGGATGTCACAATTCTCTTCTCCTTAAAGAATTTCGTCCTCGAAATTCCGATTATTATTCATTCATTTGAACAATTGGGGATATTGTCGTCTCATATTTTCTTCACTTTCCCACGTTGCCTCCTCTTGGTCATGATATCGCCATAGTACCTTAACAAGAGGTATAGTTTTATTCTTGAGGGTCCGCTCACCGCGATCCAATATCTACACTGGTTCCTCAACATACCTTACTCTGTCATTGACCTGTATAGCTTCGAAATCCAAAACATGTGTAGGGTCAGGTTTATATTTTTTTAACATGGAAACATGAAAAGCATTATGTACGCTGGATAGTTTTGGTGGCAGCACCAGTCGATATGTCAATTCTCCAACTCTTTCAAGTATCTCAAAAGGTCCTATAAATCTCGGGCTTAACTTTCCCTTCTTTCCAAATCTTGATACTCCTCTCATTGACGACACTTTTAAGAATACATGATCACCCACCTTGAATTTTAATGGTCTTTGGCGTCTGTCGGCATAACTTTTCTGTCGACTCTGGGCGGTCTTGAGTCTATCACGTATCACTTTCACTGCATCAGTCGTGACTTGTACCAACTCTGGACCTATCAACTTCCGTTCTCCTACTTCGTCCCAACAGACAGGCGTTCTACAAGCCCTTCCGTATAGAGCCTCAAATGAGGTCATGCTAATACTTTTCTGAAAACTGTTGTTATAGGTAAACTCCACTAGATGCAACTTCTCATCCCAATTGCCCTTGAAATCAATCATACAGGCCTGTAATATGTCCTCTAACACTTAAATCACACGCTCTGACTGCACATCTGTTTATGGGTGGAATGCAGTATTGTACTGGAGTTTCGTTCCTAAAGCCACTTGGAGACTCTTCTAGAAGTTTGAAGTGAACCTAGGGTCTCAATCCGATATAATGATCACAGGCACTCCATGCAATCGCACTATTTGTTTGACATATAAGTCTGCATACTTCTCAAGTGTATAGTCCACTCACTCAGCCAGAAAATGAGCAAACTTGGTTAGACGATCCACAATGACCCATCTAGCATCGTGACCACTTGATGTCCTTGGTAAACCCCGTACAAAATTCATTTTTATTATGTGCTCCCAATTCCACTCGAGAATTTCTAATGCTTTCAACAAACTTGCAAGATTGCGATGCTCTGCCTTTACTTGTTGACATGTCAAGCATTTGGCTACATGCTTTGCAATATCAGTTTTCATCCCACTCCACCAATAATGCTGATGAAGATTATGATACATCTTCGTATCCAATAAGCATAAAATCAGAACCCATGAGATATCATAATCCTAGCTTTGGATAAGTACCAACATACTTAATAAGCCTTTGAATAGAGTAAGATGCGATTCCTTAGGATTTGATAGAAATCTAGAATACATGCATAGACTGAAGAGAATATCAGGTTCCTGCTTATATCAAATTTCCCAGTTTTATCCAACTACTTTTCAATAGGCACTTCGAGTTTGATGGTGATGAAGATTCTGTAGGTTGTTCACTTTGGTACTTCCAAGTCTTCATGAACTCCCCATTCTTCTAGACTTGTTCACTTAGGTTCTTCTAGCTATTTTGAATCTTTTCACTTAGCACGTCAAAGTTACTTTTATGCAGATATTACTTGAAACACAAACAATACTTGCATACATCAAGGTCGTAACAAACCATGGATTGTTTTGTCAATATATATTATGAGGTTTCTTAACATAATGGAGCTTAAGGAGTGATTCCTTTGAAGTTTGATCAATCTTTACATGATTTAGCATAGCTGGCCTTCTTCTCCTTCTCTCAGCCCTTTAGCACCATAAAGTTAATGAACCCCAAGCTTAGCATTATCGGTGGACGTTGTCAAGGGTTATTTAGTTTGGAAATTGGATGTCATTTAAATTTCATCAACTGTATGCAAACTGCTTTAGATCATGGATATTTGTATAGCCATTGGTGCATCATTATAAACAAATAAATTAACTTGACATTTTCCTTAAAATATTGAATAAGTATAGGAAATCAAAATAACACGAACGAACAATTTATAAGAATTAGGATCGGTAATACAAAATAGTATATTTGCTAATAATTATGCGGGAGAAACATGAATTTTGATGATTTCAAAACTATCCTTAATACAATATCTACTATGATAAGTACAGACATTTTAGATGATATCTAAAGGACAGTGATGATATCTATGATTGCTATGGAGGTTAGTGAAAACCAAGTGGAATGATGAAGTTCTTGACAAGATGTGGACAAATTAAATATGACGTGTGGTCGTAAGAATTTTTTTTTGGTCACTTGGTCATAAGAATGTGAGGGAATCATGATTGATCTTTTGTCATCGTGAAGTTTTTGGTAGCTGATTTGCTCAGTAATTTCATTAGAAATCAAATCGCGAGTCGTTTTCGTATGGCTTGACCGTAAACAACATCAACTGACTGGTGATGATTTGCAAATGCTAATTATGACTAATGGTCGTGCGTATGTCAAGTCTTTGGTAGGGTTGTTGTAAACAACATCAACAGACGCCAAATCGCGTGTTGTTGTAAGGTTCGTCTGAAGATGATTATTACAGACAAAGAATATAGCCTTTGGTAGCTGGAACAACACAGCAGGAGAATCAAAAATTGTCAGAGAACTGAAAACATTTTTTGTCTAAATAGTTAGAATATCCAGTGATGGGACAATGGCAGCAGACTCTATTTTGGGAAACCTTGTTGATGTTCATGGAAAAAGATTGCATTGGCAATGAAATTTCATAAGAACAGTTCCAGCAACCACCAACGACTCCTTACTCATCAAGAAGATCTCTAACAGGAAGATTGAAGATGTCTATATAAGAAATGATCATCGAAGCTCAAAAGGGTTGGACGAAAATAGAAAAGGTTGATAGCGTTCATTGTTGTATTCTTATTTATCAAAATTATGATTGGCTAATATTTCCACTGTAGTGTTATTGCTGCATTGTAATGTGAAAAGATTAAGTATACAAGTGTGATAGCAGTACTAGAATCCTCATTGTGTGATCTATCAATTGATAGGAACGGTATTTGCTAATTGTGACATATCTTGGTGATTATTAGTACATTCCAGCACAAGTTGTAGCTGCTAGTCTAGAGAATGGATATAGGCTCAGGATAAAGCCAAACCACTATAATTCTCTATATGCCATCTTTTTTGTACTCATTATTACCCACATCTTACTGATAGCACCTTGCGTAAATGTCAATATATATATCAGCCGATCTCTAGCATTAAAACCTGATATTTATCTAGTTTGGTATTTGACATTATCATCTTTGTTGCACTAATAGCTTCACTAGCTATTGCCTGCCTCTTCTGTTTTCCAAGTACTGGAAGTTGATTCCCTGGAGTTTTCTCAAAATTGTCAAAACAACATATTCACCCCCCCTTTAGGTCACATAGTTAGCCCCAACAAATCCAACTAAAGCACAATGTAGAGCACCTAAACTTCAACATTGAAGGCAAGTACATATTTAAAGAACAACATATTTGTAATCGTGAAATTATATATGTTGGATTTAACAAGACAAATAATTTTGTTCCCCGGAATGCACAGGTAGCGAAGGCTAGCTATATTGACATGAATCTAAAACATCACAACGCATGAACAAATTGAAAATTTGGCCAAGGGCAACACTCTCAAACTCCCAGTTATCAAGCATGAATCTTTTTTTTTTGCTAGAAATGATCGAGCATGAGTCTAAAACACGACGACACAACACTCCCGAACTCCTAAGCATCATGATGATCCTCTAAGCTCGGGATGAGGACCCCCCAATTCAACCATACTTTCATCACTCACACTGACACCAGCAGCCTTCTTGCCCTTGTAGTTCCTAGCCACCACCACATACACCAAGAAATTAACCACGTTGATCAACGTCAACACCCAATAAAAGTAATCGAGCTTGCTCTGGTTCAGATCATCCCTCAGCCACCCTTTCTCCGTTCCTCCGGTCACACCCTCGACGATCTTGACAAGCGCAGTGCTGAGCCAGCTCCCTATTCCGATCTCGCTTAGGAAGACTGCGCTGCTGATGCTCCGCGTCCCATCCGTCGCCTCATCGTAGAAGAACTCGAGCTGGCCCACATAGGTGAACACCTCAGCACCGCCAACAAGGAAGAACTGAGGGAAGAGCCAGAAGAAGCTCATGCTCAACGGGGCAGGCGAGCGCTCGCGCCTCCTCCTCTCTACCATAGCAGCCGAGGCCATTGCAAAGATCGAGAGGAAGAGGCCGACCCCCATCCTCTGGAGCGACGTGATGCCCCGGTAGTGGCCAGTGCGCCGGCGCAGGGCCGGCACAATCAGCTTCTCATAGAGCGGGACAAGGAAGAGGGCATTGATGGCGGAAAAGATGGGGACGGAACCGGGGGGGACCTTGAAGCTGTGGCCAAGCTGGCGATCCATGATGGTTGCTTGGCTGATGAAGAAGGTGGAGAGCTGGGCGAAGGAGATGGAGAGCGCAATGGTGGATGCCCACACAGGGAGGACCCTCAGGAAGGACTTGAATTCCTCGACTTGCGTCACGGTGCAGAGATGCCAGCGGTTGGTGGTTGGGATGGATTCTCGATCAGCTATTACTGCGGCTTTATCCCAGAATCTGCAACAACACCCTTCTTATTAGTTAGTCTAGTCATATGGTCTAGCAGAATTCATTACTTTGTAGGTAGAAACTTTTTACTTTTTATAGTCCGAAAGTGATTCTGGATATCTTTCATCATATAACAATGAACAGAAACTTTGGCACCAAAAGATCCTTCTAATTAAGAGCCATTTTGTTTGCCATGTATTCTTTGCAACAAAATTAATAACAGCTATTATGTTTCAAATTTTTGCATGGGGTGAATATAGCAAATTCAATGGGTGAATAATTATCATATTCCAGTATTTAATAGCATTTCTAGAAAATTAGATAAACACAAGTAATTTTATGGTTGTTACTTATATGATGAATACTGACCTATATTGTGAGGTGCGAGCTAGCTTGCGAGCTCCCTTAATGTCAGACTCCTCCGTTTGCACTTCGAAAAGCAACGTCTCACATCCAACCTCCACCCCTCTTAAGTGGTTCCTCACCGATGCCACCATCACCTGCATGAACCTCGTGAACGGACTCCCCATCGGCTTCTGAAACCGGTAATACTTGATGCCGCACAGCAAGACAACGATCGATATGATCATTGCCCCGGTGGGAATCCCAAACCCCCAAACCCAACCTTTCTTCACTTGCACGTACACTAAGACCGTGATGCCCAAGAGGGCCCCCATGTTGATGGCGAAGAAGAACCAGTTGAAGAAGGCATACTTCTTCTTGACTTCCTTCTTGTCAGCCTCGTCGAATTGGTCGGCCCCGAAGGAAGAGATGCAGGGCTTGATGCCTCCCGTCCCGAGGGCGATCAGGGCAAGCGCGATGGAGAGGACCGCATTCTGCAAGTTGGAGGCCTTCTGGCATGGCTTCGCCATGCATGGCAGCGGTCGGAGGCCATCTAGGGAAGCTGATAGGGTTAGTAGAATCATTCCCTGGGGAATTTGATAAAAGCAAGGAGAACTTATTAGTTGGCTCAGCGGGAGATTATGAGTGCCTAAGTAAGAGAATTTAGTAATCTAGCTAGTTAAACTATTTAATTAGTAAATAACATTGTCGAGTCGTCTTTTACATATGTGCGCATCAGTTTTGCACTGTTCGAATAGTGTGATTTTCTCAAAGCTTGCGGCATTGTAGCCAATTCGGGTTAACAGAATTCCCGAGACGAGATAGAATCCTTATCCTACTAAACATACCAATTCGCAATTAAAATTATGTCCTTGATAACTAACATGTCTAATCTTATTCAAAGACAGTTTCATGTTGAATACTTTGGGATTTAGGGAGGTTAATCTCTTACCACTGCATAAATACAGGAAAAGACGATGATGGTTTTAAAGCGGCCCAAGTAAGCATCAGCCATGAACGCGCCAAGAAGGGTGAGAACAAAGGCCGCCCCAATCCAATCTGTGACGTGAGTTGCGGCCACCGGAATTGCTTGATGCATTTCGAGAACCAAGTATGACACCATGCTCACCGCAATCGCATAAAACGCTAATCTTTCCGCCACCTCGTTCACTACAAATTACCCATGTTAACTGATCTGTCTGAAATTTGTCTAAAGAAAGGAAAATTAACGCTAGCTCGATTAGTTGATACCTATGTCCTATCTAATGTACTATTTCAGTCTTATTTAACCAGCCAATTATTTGGCTCATGATTTAACTTTCTAAGGAAGTGACTAGAATATTAAAAATTTGTCACACCATTTAGTAAAAGAAACCGAATAAAATGTGTATATGGCATTTGATCTAGAGTTAAAAGAACAGAAAAATTAGGATCCAAAGTGTACTTATAATGAAAGGAGAAGCTTTCCACCCTCCCGTTTTCGACTTGTCTGCAATTCGACTGCAAATGTCAACACTTCCATTGCTCACCAATGTCGTTGTCGTCGAGATATTATCTTTCTGCTATCATCAAGAGTATATTCGTTGAACATGTGCAAACGTCTGAGTTGAGCAATCACAACAAACGAAATGATCAAAAGAAAAGAAACCCAAGAAGTAATTCACCTTTTGATCATCTTGCTCTTGCTGAACGAAAGACTTCTCAAACGGTTTCATGACTATATGATTTTGATGATCTGCTCTCTTTCTTCAGCTATATACGAACCTTAATATACACCCACTTGCACTAAGATTCCGGCATAGATTCTCACATACATGAAGCCATTTCGCCACCCAAGCTTGTTCCTCTAATCGTGACGTTGGGGATTGACTATGTCATTATTGGACGTTTCCCGAACTCCTCATTCGTGGACGGACAATTTGATGCGTTTGGTGCCGGCTGCAGAAAAATATGAGAGACTTTAACATATGGAGCTCGAGAATGCAATGTGGAGAGCCCTAATGGGCCAACTCATACTCAAAACATAACACAAGGACATCAGCCGGCTGTAAATGATAGCGAGACCATGCACCAGAACAGCCATGGAACATCAGCTTAATTATTTTCCTCTCTTCTTTTCTTATATCTTTTGGACCAAATGGGATCTCGAACCATCGGCTCAAACTTATTCCCACCGGTACATTTGAATGTGTTGCCGCGACCTTTCCAGAGATGAACCACACGAAAGAAAGCTCGGATCTTAATGGAAATGTGAATGAAATTTCACAATAGTTTTGCCATCCACTCACCGCTTCCTCTGTATTGCGAACGCCCTACCCAAGAAGCGAGCGTCTCTTTTTTGGTTTCTTTTGACCTTTCCCTATGTTGCGGTGATGGAAGCCTTTTAACGTGCAGAAGCCTCTGCCCCCCGTCTGGGCTTGTGCCCATTTCAGAAAGAAAATCGCGAAGAATTGGCGTGAATCTAGAAATTCTCCTTTTTGGTGCAATGTGGCTTGAAGGTATAGTTATTGAGGAGATATCCTAACGTCTTGATCTTCATCCCTTTTTTCCTTAAGAAATCCTAAGTTCCCATTTTTACCTAATCTTCCATATCTGGCTTTCACTAGCGCACCAATTCTGATCCCTTTTCCTTCTTTCTTTATTTTTTTTCATTATCCTCTTGACGTCTCATGCCCATTAGACTTTAGTCAACAATGTCAATCTCTCTCTTCTTTCCTCGTGGGCGAAAGTTTCGCGGCATAGGCCCTTATGATTGCCAAATCTGATTGGAGAAATTAAGTCTTTCCAAGTTTTGGTAGTCCATGTGCAATGCACACACTAATTTCGGCCACTATAGTCTTCAATGGGTTTGGTCAAATTTGCATTCTTGTGAGCTCAGTCCAGTTAATTAAATTAAGCTTAGAAACTCCATCGCTTGAGTTCGTTAGCCTCAGTCCAACGCAATTATATGGGTTTAATTAAAATACTCATAATATCTCTATGCAATTTAATTAATATTCTCATTTAGGGGTCAAAGCCGATCTCTAATTTTTCTGTGCAATGAATATTTAAATGGGTCATCAAAATTTAGGCGTCAACATATGTACGTACAACACTCCACACTAGCGAGCTTGAGAGCTCAAGTTCCGTTGAGCAGGAAGGCAGAGATATGTCGCACTAGAGTGGAGTCTGTTTGACCATTCACTCAACCCTTCAAAGGTTCATTTTCCTTTTTTCTCTAGAATATTTTGCCATGTGTTATTCGTCACACAAGTTTATGGTATCTAACCTACACACCGATAAGTAATTCATAATGAAATTATTACATTAAAAATTATTCATAGTGCAATTATTAGCATGCTATTAGTTGCTCACCATTAGGTTCGAATATCTAAATTTTCCTAAGTAAGTATTTTATTAGAATAAATAATATGTCTACCTTAATTAATAATTATAATAGTTAATGCTAAATTAGTGATATAATTGTTGTTAAAGTCATACTACTGATAATGTTAATAAATAATATTTATTTGAATATAATCTCATAATATATGATAAATCATAATAATGAATTAATTATCTAATAACAGATAAAAAAATTTATATATTAATTTTTAATATCTTGATAACATATTGTCAAGACCTTCTCGAGATGAGCCTTCATTTAGTTTAAGGGATTGTCAGGCAAGTGCGGATAACCCTCTCAAGGTAACACTTACACTTCGAACATAGCGACCACACATTGGTTTCTCGTTATTATTTAAGATAGACTAGAATTCGCCACTAATCTATTCTAAGCCTGTTAGTAATCGTGTAAGACACAGGAATTCACCTTACTTCTGTGAATGAAAGATTTTGGGGTTCGAGGACTAAGACACAGGATTTTGCCTTACTTCTGTGAATTAAAGATTTTTGGGTTCAAGGACTTTAATAATGGTAGTTTTGCCGAATGCCTACCTTATCTCTTTTAGGAAAACATTTTCTTAATGCAATTAATCTTCACCAATTGTTATTCAAACTCATAATTCTAAAATCCCAGGCAAAAGTCCGCAAACAATTGATCGAAAAAATCAAGGACAACAAATAAGATGTAAAACAAAACTAGAAACATATCGAATCATATCGAGCAAAATTAATACAAAGCATGGATGTAACGCTCTGGCATAGGACTCCCGTGACCTATGCATAGAATTAAATGTGCATAAGTCGATGAAGATCGTCCAATTTATTAAATGCGCAATTCATTTATAGGATGAAACTATTGAAACAAAACTTGTTTTTTTATCACGAATTGCGATAAATTCTTAAGGGAAAAAATAAAAAAAATCCTAAATTATACCAATTGTGACACATTTACCCGAACTTTTTTTTATGACATAAAAAAGCTTAAACTATACCTAATATGACACATTTACCCTAAAATTTTTATTGTGACATAAAAAACCCCTAACTTGTACATATGTGACACATTTACCCTACACCAAGGTTTCGTCATATAATTTTTTAGTTAAATTTTTTTTTATTTCACTTAAGCCGCGTGAGCCCTGTCAACACATCAATGTAGGCAGATTTTTAACGGCCTTCATTGACGGAACTTTGACGGAGGGTAAATGTATCACATAGGTACAAGTTTGGAATTTTTGGTATCACGGAAAAAAGTTTATGATAAAAATGTCAGAGGGTATAATTTGGGGTTTTTTTATGATTTTTGCTCAATTCTTAAATGTATCTAAATGAATTGTTAATTATTATAAAATAATGTCACGTGAATGCAAAAGTGTAATTAATTAATAAGGATGCAAACGTTGATAATAAGGAGAAAGCCCGCTGAGCATCAATCTGAAGACTCAAAAATGAGTTCGGGCTCTGACGTCTCAAGTCGCGAGTTGACCTGAATAGCTTTTATTACACCAAATTATTTATCAGGGATTCGATCAAATTTTGACCGAAAGTCAACATCAGCGGAATTCAGATTGAAGGGCACAAATTTTTTTTTTTTGGTCGAAATAGAACGATATACATTGAAACTTAAGAGTTCTTGAAACTACAACCCGACAGAGGGGCATCAAAACATAACAACTCCCATAACAGTTGGGGGGGGACGGGAAAGCCAAAATAAATTCAGAGAATTTATGCGATGCGCTTTGGCGATCCAATCAGCAGCTTGGTTCGCGGATCTGTTATAATGAGCCACGGTTAATTTACTGAACTGGGCCATACGGAGCAGGGCTTCGTGAACTACAGCTTCTTCTTCCCAGCCGACTTGACTCTCGTCATTCAGCAAGTTTACCATTTGGAGACAGTCTATTTCCAGAACTATTTGCTCGCTCCTCCAGTCGGCGAAGAAATGAAGCGCGTGCAACATCGCCTGTAGCTCTGTGTGCAACGGCGAAGACGCCGAGACTGTTCTAGCGAAGCCATCTAGCAAGGTTCCAGTCGCATCTCTAAGGATTGCCGCTACTGCTCCTTCTGTTGCATGTTCATGAAACGCCCCATCGATGTTGATTTTGAAGGAGTTCATCGCCGATGGGTTCCAATTCAGAGGTAATGGAATCTTTTCAGTATGCAGATTAGAACTCTTGTGATTCCACTTGCTATAGTTTTGAGACATTATCCTTGCCGACTCAATTAAAGTACTCGGATTTGGGGGTTTTTTCCGAAAAACAAATTCATTTCTGGCTTTCCAAATCAACCAGAAGATAATGGCAATCTCATCTAGTGTAAGCAGTTTTTGTGGCTGTAGCTGATAGTTTTGAATCCATACCTCAATTCGTGTTATTTCCTCACAAGCGATTTTGATCTGAACTGAAGGTGCTGTCCAAATTGCTTCGGTCCAGGGGCAGATAAGAAAGATGTGCTCCACCGTTTCAGCCTCTTGATCGCAAAAGGGGCAAGTTGGCCGAGGTAAGATCTTCCTCCTGTAGAGATTTTCTTTCGTTGGTAGCGCATTTTGGCACATACTCCATAGAAATAGTCTTACCTTGGGAGGGGTATTTAGTTTCCAGATTCGGCACCACAGTTTAGTGGAAGGTTGGAAAGAAGATGATGCCTGCTTTTCAATCTGTGGAAGTTCTTTATCACGAATCTTATTATAAGCACTTTTCACTGAAAATTCTCCCGACTTTATGGCTGTCCAAACTAGTTTATCTTCTGTTACTCTGCTGCATAGAGGTATGGCTAACACCTCATGAACAATCTGGTCTTCAAATAGTCTTGTTAGCATATCGACATCCCATGTTCTGTCCTTGTGCTTGATTAGGTCTGAGACTTTTGCCGATTCTTCAAGGGTTGCTGGTCCTCCCAAAACTCCTCTTTTGAGCCACCTGTCTTCCCGAATACTGATTTTTTCCCCCGTGCCAACCGACCATATGACTGAATTTGATATTTCTTCCCGTCCCAATAGAATGCTCTGCCATCCCCAAGAGGACCGAGACCCCTTCCTAGCTTGCCAGAAAGATCTTGTAGGGAAATATATTCCTTTGAGAATTTGGCTCCATAATGATGATTGGTTTTGGGATAACCTCCATGCTTGTTTACCGAGCAAAGCTCTATTGAAAGATATGAGGTCTCTAAATCCCAAACCCCCTTTATCTTTTTTTGTTTTTAGAACTTCCCACCGCTTCCAGTGAAGACCTGACTTCGATTCAGAATTTTTCCACCAAAAGGCTGCAACCCTTCTTTCTATGGACCGACAAATTGAAACTAGAATTTTAAATATTGACATCGCATATTGAGGAAGAGCTTGAACCACAGTCTTAATCAGCGTTTCTTTTCCTGCCTTTGAAACAAGCCTTTACTTCCATCCCTCCAGTTTCATATTGACTTTTGCTAATATCCAACTGAACATTTGTTTTTTTGATTCACCCCAATCCGAAGGAATCCCGAGATATTTGCCGGTCTTCTTAATCTCTGGGACTCTAAGTTGAGCAGCCATATTATCTCTTAAGTTCAGTGGACAGCACGAGCTAAAGAAAATACTAGATTTGTTTAAGTTGATTTCTTGACCAGATGCATAGCAATACTGATTGAGGATCAATGCAAGATTCTGGCATTCAATCAGCTTACCATCTAAGAAGAAGATGGAATCATCAGCAAAGAGGAGGTGAGATAGAACCGGACAATACCTGTTTAATTTTATTCCAGAGATTGTGCCATCGTGTACTGCCTTTCTCATCAAAACCGAGAGTGTGTTAGCTATCAATATAAACAAATAGGGGGATATGGGGTCCCCTTGTCTTATCCCTCGTGTTGGCTTGGAGTAGGGCAATGGTTCCCCGTTCGGTTTTACACTCAAAGAGATAGAAGTTACACATTGCATTACCCTCTGTACCCACCAGTCACTGAAACCCATTTTCAACATACTAGCTTCAAGGAAATCCCACTCTACCCTATCATAGGCTTTTTTCATATCCAGTTTCAACACCGCCTAAAATTTTCTTTTCCTTTTTCTGATTCTCATTTGATGTAGTACTTCTTGAACAATCAAAATATTGTCTTGGATTTGCCTACCGCCCACAAAAGCGCTCTGTTCTGCTTCTATTATAACCGGCAACCACTTTTTCAATCTATTTGCTAGGATTTTCGAGATAATTTTGTATGCAAAATTGCATAGGCTGATTGGTCTGAACTGATCTAAACCCTCTGGATTGAGAACTTTCGGTATTAAGGTGATATGGGTTGTGTTTAGTGTTGGATTCAGATTTCCAGACTGGACAAACTTCTTCACTTCATCAAAAACCCCGTTTTTTACATCGTCCCAGTTTCTTTGATAAAATTGGCCATTCAAACCATCTGGTCCCGGTGACTTCAAAGCACCCAATTGAAATACTGTTGTATGGACCTCCTCCATTGTGACTTGAGTTGTTAATTCTTGGTTCATCTCAGCTGTGACTATAGAAGGACATTGTAGCAAAATAGGATGAAAGTCTCGGGGATCCTCTGAATGATAAAGCTGTTGAAAAAATGCCACTGTCAACTCTTTGAGCGCTTGGGGGTCTCGAACCCACACGTTTTCAGCATTTTTCAGCATAGATATTCTGTTCCTCTGCCTTCTCTGAATTGTTGTGGCGTGGAAATATTTTGTGTTCTTATCTCCCCATTTCAGCCAATTGATTCGAGACCTTATTCCCCAGTATATTTCCTCCTGTCTCCACAATGTTTCAATCTGTTCAGTTATGGCCCTCTTTCTATTCTGGTTTCCATGCACATTCTGATCATTTGTCAATGCCATCAATTCTTGTTTTAAGGACTTGATTTGCTTGTGGCTGTTCTGGAAGTTGTCCCTGCTCCATCTCGCCAATGCAATTGAGACTGCTTGTATTTTCTGCATTAGGTTAGATTGTTGTAACCTATCTTGATTCCATATTTGCCTAATTATCCTCCCACAATCCTCATTTTCCGGCCAAAATGCTTCAAATTTGAACATTTTATTTCTCCTAATAGGTTCAGCTGATAAGCCCAGTAAAATAGGGCTATGATCTGATCTGATGGCCGGTAAAGCAAAGACCTCGGCTTGAGGGAACAGTATTCTCCATTCCAAGTCGCAAACAGCCCTGTCCAGTCTTTCTTGAACATAATCCTGCCCTTCTCGATTGTTAGCCCAAGTAAATGCACAACCTTTACTTTCTATATCCATTAATCCACAAGCATTGAGGAAATCTCTAAATGCGTTCATTCTATGGAGTTGTGGAGGCCGCTTCCCCCTCTTTTCCCAATAGTTCAAGATTTCATTAAAGTCCCCAATACATACCCAAGGCAAGTTGTTCTGTATACTCAGACTTCTCAGCTCTTCCCATAATCTCATCTTTTCTTGAAACATAGTTGGAGCATGAATAAAAGTGGCCCTGAATTGTTTAGCCATCTCATCATCATGAAGAGTGATGTCAATGAACTCGCTCGTGGTTAAATTGACAGTCAAAGAAGTCCCATCCTTCCACAGCAGCGCCAAACCTCCCCCAATCCCTCTGGGAATAACAGTATAGCAGTTCTGAAAGTTTAAAGTTCTGCTTAGTCGCCGAACTAAGTGATCTTGGTTCTTAGTCTCCATAAGAAATACCACGTCGGGCCTTTCTTGGGCCATAACGGCCCTTAAGGCTTGAACTGTCAAGGGTGTGCCCAACCCTTGACAGTTCCAGCACAGAAGCCTCATTTGTAACCTAGTGGCTTATTAGGGCTAGCCACCAAAGCCCATTATTCGGGTTCTTTTGCAATTTGCACCGGAGTGTCTAAGAGTTGTGCTTCATCCAATAAATGTCCTTCCCAACTTTTCTGATCATACGGTTCGTACCTTCTTCCCTTCTTATAGTTCCTTGCCTTCAGTTTTCTATTTTTGCTTTGCAGTCTTTCACTTACTTTCTGTGTTGAAAACTGGTCAATCTGCAATGGAATAGCTGATTCAGGATTAGCATCTTCTTCGATTTCCTGATTGCTCGCTAAGGTGATAAGGTCCTTCTTAGTTAGTTTCCTCTTTCCCCTATGTGCTTGCATGTTATTCAATCTGGTTTGTGAGCTGCTTGCAATATTCTGAACTAAGGTAATTTGTCCAGAATTTTGAGGGGTTTCCAGCACCATCTCCTGTTCCAACTCCTGCCCTTCTTCCCTCTCCAAAATCTCCCCATAAAAGGCATTCCAAAAGGGGCTAATGGAGCTCTCTTCCGCTTTTAACCAGGGCCCATAAAACATTTTTTCATCAGTGGATGTTAATTCTTCATCATACGGCACGAGTTCACAATTTTTTGCATAATGCCCTATTATCCCACAGGAATAGCAGAAATGGGGAAGTCTTTCATATTTAAAATCCAGTCAATGCTCCTTACCTCTAAAGCTAGAGAGCATGCCCGATAAAAAGGGAGTCGACAATCTTAGCAGGACTCTTGCTCTCCCCACCACTATTGATGCATATCCTTTGGATTCTATACGCACTTCTGAGACTTCCCCAATGTTTTCAGCAATTTCTCTAATTGCTTCTTCAGTTGTTCCTTCAATAGGTAAGCCATGAATTTGAACCCAAATGTTACACGAGTCAAAAATAATGCACTGTGGAGGCATACTTGGTTCCCATAGTTTGATCACCAGCAAATGACTTGAGAAAGACCATGGCCCAGAATTCAGTATTCTATTTCTTTCCTGGATAGACTCAAACTCAAAAGAAAACAACCCAGGTTGTAGATGCTTGCAGATGATGGAGTTCGTTTTCCAAGCCTTCTTCATAGTGGCTTGAAAGGCTTGGAAATTGACAGAAGGACTTCCATGAAGTTTGCCAAACACTGTACGTTCACACTCTTGTAATTTCGCTTCCGTCACAACATTGTCTAATACAACAATTTTCCTACCAGTCCAGAGGTGTCCTAGCCTTCTACACAAAGCTGCCATCCTGAGGTCCCATTCTCTGTTGTCTTCCATATTGCTGAAGCTTTGTGGTTAAGAAAACCTAACTTATAAAATAGGCTATTTTCTTACATCTATGCTTCATACCTAGGTACCCCACAGCATTGTGTTACCAAGGGGGGAAGGGGACCTACCAGAAGCAGTTGTTGAAACCTGATGGACGATCTTTTGTTGCGGACATGATTCTTTCCTTCAACTTTGTAAAACTGCTGTTTTTGACCTACAAAGGGGAGAAAGACTGTCGCCTTGCACATCTGGAATGGTAGTTCACAAGAGGAGGAGTCGAGTCTTCCATCCACGAAAGCTGGCGTCAGATTTTGGGCGTTTAGCTGCGGTGGTGCCTATCTTCTTCAACGCGGTTTCTTTGACTCTTGAAGCAGCTTAAACAGTGGTTTGGGGTTGATGAAAGCGATGGGCGAACTAGAAAGCGAAAGCTGTGATAAGGGAGATGGATTCTTGGGTTTTGAAGGAAGTTTGGGGTTAGGGCAAAGCTATCCAAAAGATAGAGAGAAACTCTACACGCGAGAGAGAAGAGCAGACACACGAAGGGCACAATTTGATCATACTTTGTCCTAGCTTTCCATCGGTACCTAATTTGACCATATGGGACGACAAACACCATAAGGGATAATGATACAAACAGTCCCTAAATTTTGGCTTAATGTGCAATTTGATCCCTGAACATTTAATTTGTTCAATGTAGTCTCTGAAGTTTAGCCTAATATTCAATGTGGTCCCTAAACTTTTAATTTGTTCAATATGATCCCTGAACTTTTGATACATGTCCAATTTAATCCATGAACTATATAAAAATATACAATATAGTCCCTGAATTTGAATTAATAGAAGGACTATATTGAACATTTTTATAAAGTTCAGGGATTATATTGAACATGTACTAAAAGTTCAAGAACTGCATTGAACATATTGAAAGTTTTGGGGCCATATTGAACGTTGAGTTAAAGTTCAGGGACTATATTGAACAAATTAAAAGTTCAAAGATCAAATTACACATTAACTCAAAGTTCAAGGATTGTTTGTATCATTTTCCCACGCCAGAATCACAACTTTTAATTGCTACCATTGGGAAATCTACGACTATCACAAATCATGTTATGAGCTCATGAAGATCTAGCCGTAAGATTTCTAATGCCCAAGAATCACTCCTATCCGAGTTTTCTAAAGGGAGATATCATAACTTTTCATCTCAGCCATCCATTCAACCCATTTCATGGAATCTAGAATCCCAACACTTTTATATTATTTTTCAGAAATCATATCATAGTTTTGGAAAGTCCTGGTCGCAATGTGATGCCCCAGAATGTTACGCGCAGCATATGTCTTTTGTGATTATTATTCATATCATTTCTATAAGCATACGGAAGCAAAAAAATTCACATCACATGAGAAACACAATTTGGCAAGTTTGAATAACTTAGACATACAATTTGCCCATTTTTTCCCTCTTCCAAGTATTAATACAAGTACCAAAAGAAACAGAGTACAACGAACTCTAGGAAGAAGGTCGGGTCTCATTGATACTACTCCATACTCCTATAGCCATAAACTTGCCTACACAAAGTCACGCTACCATGCTACCGATCAACAACTTTGCCCGTTGACATGCCATCGTCGTCGAAATCAGGGGGCTATCGAAGCTCCTAAGTGGTCCAACCAACTGCTCGTCAAAGTTGAAGTACCAAGCAACAAATCAATGAGGGATCCATCGATCCATACCACCGAGCTACACCTGGTATAAAATACCGCTGATTTGGGTACTAATACGTCTTGATAATCGCAGTCAAAATATACAGAAATCTAAACTACAGTGGTGGAGAGTGATCCACCCTACAAATCTAAAATATAAAGAGTGAGCCGAAGTGTCATAAATGAAATCCCTAAGTCTGAGGTAGGAGATCACCTTACCACTCAACCTGGTATAAAATAATGTGAGTTTAAAGCAATACAAAATCACCATGTATGACAAATGCAAGAGTAAATACATTATCTTTCTTCTCATGATATTGTTGACACTTAATTTTTTGTCCAATTTTCAATTTTACATAAAAATCACAAAAATTAGGATTAGGGACTTTTACCATGCTTAGGAACCTATATCTAAACAAAACAAAAATTCCAGATTTTTCTTCAATTTTTCCTTAATTTCTTGTGGTTAAAATGGGAGGAAAATCAAGAAAAATACCAAATGAATTATAAAAATTTCCAAAAAATATTGATTAGTCTTACTTTAATTCCAATTTCATCCCTGCATTTTCAATTTTACAAAATTTCAATTGGAAATATGTTTTTCCCAAATTTGGGTAATTTCATATCCTAATTGAACCAAAAATCCAATTAAATCATTTCTAAGCATTTTTAGACCATAGTGTCTTCACAAAATTGATTTTGGGACCTTAAATTTCATATTGGTCGGTCCAATTTCACAATTTGATAAAATAATTAAAAAGCCCCAAAATTAATTGAAAATTAGGAATTTTAGGACCCAAATTGGGGATTTCTTTCAATTTGAAATTTTCGATCAAAGTCTATACCTTCCCTAAGAGTAATCAACCATGGGGAATCCAATTTTGGCCTTAGATCAGCAAAATTAGGTCATTCGGACCTTCAATTGAATTAAAACACACTTGAACCGAATTCAAATTTGGGGTATTTGGGCTTAATTGAGATAAAAAGTCAAAGTGATCCCGTATTTTAAAGTAAAATGTGTCAAGGAATTGAGATTTGGGGTCAGAATTTTGAAAATAGGTCGAAATTTGGTCTAATTTGCAATTTTAGACCAACCCGGGTCTGTCGGGTCAGTCGGATCCGACCCGATCCAACCTGGGTTGGCTTCTTCCTTGCCCGACTCAACCTGGCGTGGGAAAGGTGAAGAAAAACCTTTGCTGCCCTGCCCCTTCACCGCCCTAAATCTCCCATTCCAATACGTGCAAAAGAAAATGGGACAGCTAGAGACCTCCAGCTGTCGACGGGGAACCGTTACAACAGCTTCCCGAGTCGGTTAGAGGTCGAAAACCGCATCAGGAAAGAGATCAAAAAGGGCATAAGAAGTGGTTCCAAGCAAAGAACCTGTTCAAGAGAATTCCCAAGAGAGAGAGCCAGAGAGAGAAAGAGAAAAACTAAGAGAGAGAAGGAGTAGAAGGCCTTCAGACTGAGTGACCGGCACTGTCCCAACGGGAAAGGTGCCGGCGAATCACCTGTTCAGGTGACTTCCTTCCTTTTGTGTCCAATGAAGGAGCTGATCGGGAAGCCTAGAAAATCAGCCCCGATCACCAAATCAAGGACTTTCCCGGCAAAGCCGAGCCCATAGGTTGATAAAGAAGGTGCATGAGGATCAATCAATCCATAGCCTCCAGCCGATTCAAAATTTCCATTTTGATTGCCGGTGAAAAAGGTAAACTTCCTACCCAATCACACACCAGCTATTTGTTGAAATGCCCGAATAAGTGCCCGAACCATTTCAAGCTTGATTCAGTGATTTCTTTCTTATTTCTATGATCATTGATTCCATATTCATGTTCTTGATATATTAATTGTTTGTTCTATGCATTTTGGATCGTATTTTTGCATAATCCATGAGTCGGCCCCCATAACCATCTTTGCCAGAGCATCCGAGCCTTGCCGGAGGACATTCCCACGGCCAATGGCCGTCCAAGTTATTCCTTTCTGATCCATTTGATGTTTTAATGAATGTTTTGATAGTTAGATTGGAATCTATTGTATTAGTAGGATTGTTCTGGTTAGAATAGTTTCAGGTTAGGTTTTTTTATAGCTTAGAAATCGCCGGCCGGCGGTGGTCCGGCAGTGGTCCGGTGGTGATAGGTTGGTAGAGGGTGCTATGTAGATGCTTTAGGATCATTGGTAGTGGCCGGAACACTGGCGGAGGGTCGTCGGAGATAGGGTTGAAGTCGTGGTGTTGAAAATGCATATTAAGCTTAATGCACACCAAGTGCTTGACAAAATGCCTCAAAGAAGAAATGCAAAAACGGCGCCGTTTTGGCACCGTCCTCACCGAAGAGCTAGCCGGAGATTGATCAGGCCAGTCCAACGCAGTTGCACTGGTCTGAACCGGTCCGGTTCGTTCCCGAGAAATTAAAAAATAAAAATAAAATAAACAATAAACAATAAAAAATCAGAAAAACAATAAAAAAAATCAAGAAAATTAAAAAATAAAGAAAAAATAAAAAAATTCAGAAAATCATAAAAATTTCAGATATTTAGGGAAATTTGCATAAATTAAGAAAATTCATAAAAAAAATTAAAAATTCATAAAATTCATAAAATTCATAAAAAAATTCTAAAAAATTGCAGAATGGCTCAGAACACTTGTGGCCACCCTTTGTGAGTGAAAAATTTTGGGAATGCACAAGTTCTTTTGAAAATTTCCTAGTTTAGAGGTTAAAAGGGGATTAACCCCTAAAAAACCCTAAAATGGGGTGATAGGTTTTTTTAGGGACAATATTAGGAATGTTGTTTGTAATTTGAATTGATTGTGCTTTTCATAATTGATTGATCCCTCATCGTTTAAAATGGTTAGAATTAGCGGATAAGCCTTGAGAAACTACATGCTACGCTAGCCACTTCAAATCGAGTTAGGTACCAAAATAGCGTTAGGGATTTTGACATCGAAATTGTTAACGTTAGCAAGTCCCCCTACCCATGATATCTCTGGTTCGCAGAAATCAGGATGGTTCTCCCCTGTCTCGATTAGGTTTCTAGTCAACCATTAAGGACCAGTGGCGACTCCAAAAATGAAACATATGCTAAATAGAAAATGAATACCCGCTATCTCGTGAGATATGGTCTGGGAGAGACCCTCATTCATTTAGTGACGAAACACCCTACCATTCGCAATGAACGAAAGTACCTCCAAGCGTGCTCCGGAAGGGTGCAGCGTGACAGGTCTAGCGACTCCGCTGGGAAATTAAGTGGATTTA